TAGAATCTAACGGGCTGGCCTGGTGACATAGTGGTTAAGTTTGTGCACTCTGCTTTGGTGGCCTGGGGTTCGCAGGTTCAGATCCTAGGCGCGGATCTAGTACCACTTGTCACGCCACACTGTGGTGGTGGCCCACATAAAATAGGGGAAGACTGGCATAGATGTTAGCTCAACGACAATCTTCCTCAAGCAAAAAGAGGAGGATTGGCAACAGATGTTAGCTCGGGGCTAATCTTCCTCACCAAAAAAAAAAAAAAAAAAGGAATCCAAGATTAAAAGTGGTAAATAGATAATATAGGAATATTTTTTTAAATTTTTTATTGAGTTTTATGATAGGTTACAATCTTGTGAAATTTCAGTTGTATATTATTGTCTGTCAGTCGTGTTGTAGGTGCAACCCTTCACCCTTTGTGCCCACCCCCCACCCCCCCTTTCGCCTGGTAGCCACTAATCTGTTCTCTTTGTCCACAGGTTTAAATTCCTCATGAGTGGAGTCATACAGAGATTGTCCTTTTCTATCTGGCTTATTTCACTTAACATAATTCCCTCAAGGTCCATCCATGTTGTTGCAAATGGGACGATTTTGTTCTTTTTTACGGCTGAGTAGTATTCCATTCTATGTATATACCACATCTTCTTTATCCAATCATCTGTTGATGGGCACTTAGGTTGCTTCCACGTCTTGGCAATTGTAAATAATGCTGCAATAAACATTGGGGTGCATAGGACTTTTGGAATTGCTGATTTCAAGCTCTCTGGATAGGTACCCAGTAGTGGAATAGCTGGATCGTATGGTAGTTCTATTTTTAATTTTTGGGGGAATCTCCATACTGTTTTCCATAGTGGCTGCACCAGTTTGCATTCCCACCAGCAGTGTATGAGGGTTCCTTTTTCTCGACAACCTCTCCAACATTTGTTACTATTTGTTTTAGTTATTTTTGTCATTGTAATGGGTGTAATGTGATACCTTAGTGTAGTTTTGATTTGTATTTCCCTCATGATCAGTGATGATGAACATCTTTTCATGTGCCTATTGGCCATCTGTATATCTTCTTTGGAGAAATGTCTGTTCATGTCTCCTGCCCATTTTTTGATCGGGTTGTTTAATTTTTTGTTGTTGAGTTGTGTGAGTTCTTTATATATTATAGATATTAAGCCTTTGTTGGATGTATTACTTGCAAATATTTTTTCCCAGTTAGTGGGCTGTTTTTTGTTTCAATCCTGTTTTCCCTTGCCTTGAAGAAGCTCTTTAGTCTGATGAAGTCCCATTTGTTTATTCTTTCTATTGTTTCCCTTGTCTAAGAAGACATGGTGTCCGAAAAGATCCTTTTAATACTGATGTCAAAGAGTGTACTGCCTGCATTTTCTTCTAGAAGCCTTATGGTTTCAGGTCTCAGCTTTAGGTCTTTGATCCGTTTTGAGTTTATTTTGGTGAATGGTGAAAAAGAATGGTCAATTTTCATTCTTTTACAATGTGGCTTTCCAGTTTTCCCAGCACCATTTGTTGAAAAGACTCTTTTCTCCATTGTATGCCCTCAGCTCCTTTGTCGAAGATTAGCTGTCCATAGATGTGTGGTTTTATTTCTGGGCTTTCAATTCTGTTCCATTGATCTGTGCACCTGTTTTTGTACCAGTACCATGCTGTTTTGATTACCGTAGCTTTGTAGTATGCTTTGAAGTCAGGGATAGTGATGCCTCCAGCTGTGTTCTTTTTCCTCAGGATTGCTTTAGCAATTGGGGGTCTTTTGTTGCCCCATATGAATTTTAGGATTCTTTGTTCTATTTCTGTAAAGAATGTCATTGGGATTCTGATTGAGATGGCATTGAATCTGTAGATGGCTTTAGGTAGAATGTATAGGAATATTTTTATTTATAAAAGTTACAATAGGGCCAGCCCCGTGGCTGAGTGGTTAAGTTCGCACTCTCCACTTTGGTGGCCCAGGTTCGGTTCCTGGCCGCGGACATGGCACCACTCATCAGGCCACGGTGAGGCAGCGTCCCACATGCCACAACTAGAAGGATCCACAACTAAAAAATATATAACTATGTACTGGGGGGTTTCGGGGAGAGAAAGCAGGGGGGAAAAAAAACGATTGGTAACGGTTGTTAGCTCAGGTGTCAATCTTTAAAAAAAAAAAGTTACAATAAAAAAAGCCAAGTGTACTAGCAGAAAACAACAACAGAAAAAAGGGGAAACAGTGTATTTGGTATACAAGGATAGGGAAATGGAAGAAAGAGAAATATTTTAGTAATGTGGAATAATCTTAAATTGGAATAATAAATAACAGCTATTTATTTATTATTGAGGTATAATTGACATATAACGTGTTAGTTTCAGGTGCACAACATAAGGCTTCAATATTTTTGTACATTGTGACACGATCACCATAGTAAGTCTAGTTAACATCCCTCACCATGCATAGTTACAGAAATAAATAACAGCTGTTTAAATGTGGAAATCCTGAAAGGTGTGCTTCCAAATTGACGGAGCAATGGCTAAGAAAATAAAGTAAATCTGAAAGTAAAAATGTATATATGGATATGAAATCTGACAAAAATGTTTTTTATAATCGTTAAAAGGAAACTGTTAATAGTCGAATTGAAGTTTTGACAGAATTTGAAGATGAAGACAACCATGAAAATCAAGGCTAGTGTTCCCAAATACAGTTTTTAAGGCTCTTTGCCTGAAGATTCTGTTTTGCTGGGTCTGTGGTAGGGTGTGGGATTCTGTTTTTTCATAAGCACCCGGGTTAATTCTTATCACTTGTGTTTGGGAAATGCTAGACTAGGCAGTGAAAACATGAGAAATGCCAAGGTTAGTGTTCCAAAAACCATATGATAAATTTCTTAGTTTCCTGTGGCTGCTGTAACAAATTACTGCAAACTTGGTGGCCTAACACAACCGAAATTTCTTGTCTCACAGCCCTGCAGGCCAAAAGTCTAAAATCAGTATCACTGAGCTGAAATCGAGGTGTCGGCAGGCCACACTCCCCAAGGTTCTAGGGAAGAATTCGTGCCTTGGCTCTTCGGTCCTAGTGGCGGCATCACTGTAATCTCTGCTCCCGGAGTCACATTGCCTTCTCTTTTGTCTGTGTCGTCTCCCTCTTCCTCCCTTTTTTAAGGATACACGTAATTGCATTTAGGGCTCACCTGGATAGTGCAAATAATCCCCATCTCAGGAGCCTTAGTTTAGTCACACCTGCAGAGTCCTTTTTTGCCAGATAAGGTAACATCCTCACGTCCCAGGGATTTGGTTGTGGATATCTTTGGGGAGCTATTGTTTAGCCTACCACAATAAACATCCTAAAAGTGGCCAGCATGTGAGTAAAGAGAGAAAAGGGACAGATTTCTTAAACTAGAATAGAGGTAAGCGTTGGAGGAGAGGTAGGAAGGACAGCATGAAGACCACATGAGACTAAATAGAAGCAAGAAAAGCAAAGAACAGAGTTCTCCAATATTTCCACTATTGCAGAGGCAACAAGATAGTTGGAAAAGAAAACTTTGTACCTCAAGACAACTTTCCATGTCTTTTATTAGACAATGGGCTGCATGTAACACTGAGTACAATAACAGTTTTTAAAATTACTTTAAAATGTTTTCAGGTAAGTTTATAGTATAAACTTTTAAAAATGTGATTAGATTAAAATTTAACTTAATATAAACTTATTAAAGTTATCAATAAAGTTTTTATTAAAGGCCATCAGAGATGATATCACATGGTTTAAACTGATTAATTTCTTCTGTGAATCTTAAATTGGATTTTATGTAATAGTATTTTTTTAATATGTTTATTCAATCTAGAAGCAGTAGTGCAAAATGAAATAGTGTTACTTTTTTTATTACTAATAAACAACTCTATTTAGTGAAAAAGTTCACAAAATTTGTCTTTTAATAAAGCACAGGATTTCTGTTTAAAGAAGGCTTACTTTTTTCCTATTTATAAGAGTCATACATGCATATTGTGAAAAATTGGGAGAATGAAGGAATGTATAAAGAAGAAAACCTACTGTTATTCATATTTTGTCATATTTCCTATAAGCCTTTTATGTATGCATTTGAAAAAATATAATTGAGACCATAGAGTATATACAGTTTTGCTTGCAACGTTTTTTCCGTTTACGTTGTAATTGAAATTTGAGGTGCTCGTGCGAGGTGAGATTCCCAGAGAAAGTCCTGGGTTTTACACCTAGAGTATTTGAAACAGGCTAGTTAAACTTTAAATGTTTCATATCTTTGCAGTTGACTAAGACTTTATCTTTTAGTGTATTTGATTCTTTTATATGTCTTCAAATTACCCAAACATATTAGAATGTTTATTTGTTTAAAGGAGAAGAAAAATGGATGAAATTTAAGAATGAAAGGAATTGTAAGTGGAAAAGTCTTCTCATAGGCAAATAAATGGAAGCACTAAATAGGGAACATATTCAGTTCTTTGAATGTATTAAAGCTTATAGAGTAAAATGTGAAATTTATATCACGGGAGTTATTGAGTATTTACTATATCTTAGCATTTTTCTTAGAACTTTACATATATGTAACATTTTTAACTGTGTTTATTAGTTTTATTGTATGTTTCTGAATTAAAATAAGCAATAGAATTAAAATTATTGGCCGGTATTCTTTTTATTATTTTTCTTGTTCTTAAAGGTAGATATCTTCCTTAATTTTGGAATACTTGAACTTTAATGGACCATCTTCTTGGAAAATAGTTTACTTTTTGGGTGAAACTGTAATGAATCTTGGTCAGCACATTGACTCATTCAAAGCAAAGTATAGTTGAATGGTGTAGAATGAAAATTGGTTAAGATAATAACATGCCCAAAGCATCTGCCCCAAAATAAATATATGTAGATTAAACAAACTTGAGTACTTTTTTAGATTTAAGATTCTTTTGTTAGTTTAGTTTAGTTTGTTTTTGCATTGCTTTATTGTCTTGGAGAAGAATTAAATTGTATAAAAGCTCACAGAATTTTCATTAAGGTTTTATTCTCTTTCTCTAGCTTAAAGCAATAAATGTAGATCTTCAAAGTGATGCTGCTCTGCAGGTGGACATTTCTGATGCTCTTAGTGAGAGAGATAAAGTAAAATTCACTGTTCACACAAAGGTAAATGTGGTTTTGTATTTGTGTTACTTTAGCTATTTATTGTAGTAATGTTACATGTGTAATAATATATTGACTGGAACTTTGGTTTTGAACATAATTAGAAACTATCGTAGCGTATAATTCATTGCTACTATTTAAAAAAAGAAACTTTTAAAAAAAGCTGCTTCTAGTATTTTTTAAAGATAGATGTTTAACAGTTAATCATAGAATCTAGACATAATGCAAATTTAATTTTCTCTAGACTTTTATTAATCTTTTACTATTCTTGTTCTTTTCAGTTTTGTTGTGCTCCTTAATCAAATTACTGTCTTACAAATTATTTTCTTCTTAGAATTCAGTTCTCAGGCACATTTTCAAATTGCAGATCTATTTTCCTTTGTTTAAATAGTTGAATTTGATATATGTATATTCATAGGATAACTTTTAAGTAGTGATAGAGTACAGTACAGTAAGAGGCTGTCAGCTTATCTTCTCAGGGATCCCGGGGTAATTTTGTCTGGGTGTCTCAGGGTTTCCATAGTAGAGTTTAAAAGTACCGATAATCTTCCATATAAGACTAATTGAAAAAATACATATATAGAAAATGTTTATTAAAAGCTTTTTAGTATAATTTTGATTTTTATTCAAGAGAATCTCTATCTTTGCAGAGTTCATTGCCAAATTTTAAACAAAATGAGTTTTCTGTTGTTCGACAACACGAGGAATTTATCTGGCTTCATGATTCCTTCATTGAAAATGAAGACTATGCAGGTTACATTGTAAGTGTCGAGGTTCCATTTTAATGCCACTTTCTAGGAACTTTTAAGATACTTTATTATGTGTTGAAGTCTTGTTTAACATTTTTGGGGAACTGATGTAATTTTTAAAAATTACCAATTACAAAGCATAGTTGGCTAAAACCTTTTTATCCAAAGTTGTCTTATTTGGGAGTGTGGGAATATAGATATGTTCTGCTTCCTCATTTAAACTTAGATTCTTAGTATTTATTAGAATTGAAATGGACTTGTTCTAGGGGCCCATTAATTAAGGGGATGTTACAGACCATACTGGTTCTGACCCCTTAGGTGGACAGATATTTGGAGTTGGAGGGCTCCTTACGAGGTTGTCTAATCTAAATGTGGACCAGATGTTGTGCCTCAGCTGTTGACCACACTCAGATTTCTGAAACTCAGTTTCATTTGATTTCCTTGAAATCATCCTGACCTGGTCCCATCTTCATCCTTGTGGACACTCCTCAGTCATTTGCTTCTTTTTCTTTCTGCAGCTCAGTTTGGTGGGCAATTGGTAATGCTTTTTTTTTTTTTTTTTTTTTTTAACTGTTACTGGTTTATATAAAGGATACAACTCAGGAACAGCCAAATGGAGAGATGCACAGACAAGGTGTGGGGAGGGGGGTTGGTACTCTGCTTTCATGCCCTCTCCAGGTACACCACCTTCTGCTCCCAGCATGTCAATGTGTTCACCAACCTGGAAGCTCCTTCTCTTCTCATCCTATTTCCACCTTTTTTTCTTCTTCATCTTGTCTCATGGCATTTTCTTAGTACTTTTTCCTTCCATAGACTAAACACTCCTCAAAGGCCAAGATGGTCTTATTTATCCACAGGCCTGTTGCCCTGCCTCATGCCTGGCACGTAGTAGTCGCTATGTGTGGGCGTCAGTGAATGTGTGCTGAAGTGTACGTGATGCTTCCTTCCCTGTGGCTTTCCTTGGTGTACCGCTTTTCTTGTAGGCATTTTCATTTTAACTTTCCCCCCCGCTTATCTTTTTTCCCCTCTTGTTTTACTTGCTGTCTTTACTTCCTGTCATTTCCCATTAACAGTTCTTACTTGTAGGCCCTTTCTCCTAAGGTAAATTTTTTTCTTATATCCTTCCCTTGAATGACATGTCTCTTCTAGATCTTATATTTTTATTTAAGGTAAGTGCTTACTTACCCCTTTACTGTGGGTGAATGGAACGAGGTTAGTCATTAATCTGTGTCACGTTCTCTTGTTTTTAAGTCAGTGCTTTCTGTTTCTGGTACTCTCCTCCAATCCAGGAAACCTTTTTAATGTCCCTTGCTATACTAGCATTCACTAATTTGAAAAAACACAATAGCATAAAGCTACTATGAATTCATTAATTTAAAAAATAAATATGTATTTAATCATGCCCTTTATGTGTGTAATCATACTTTTGAAAAATGGTATGCGTATTTGCTATACGTATTCATTTATCTTACGGTCAGAACTTAATGTGCATGTATATTTGGGGACTCTAGGTTGCCACATAGGAATCTACAGATTAAAGTTTGGGAAGTACTATCCTAATACCAGGAAATATTGCTCAGCTGTATTTTCTTTTTTAATGTAAAGGACCTGAAGGATCTTAATTTCTAGACCTAACCAATTCTCTTCCATGACTTTGGGATGTTCATGGTGCGTAGTTCATGTGGGATATGTTTAGCTCTCACAGAGACAGTCTTTGCTGGTGGCAGCAGTACAACTGCAGCAGGAAATTAAACGGTCTTTAACATTAGTGATTTGCTTCTGTTATAGATCCCACCAGCACCACCAAGACCTGATTTTGATGCTTCAAGGGAAAAACTACAGAAACTTGGAGAAGGAGAAGGGTCCATGACGAAGGAAGAATTCACAAAGATGAAACAGGAACTGGAAGCGTATGTGATTTTTGTTGTTGTTGTTAATAGTGCTTCTTTCAATGCCTTTTTTTGTGCTCTCTGATATCCCATTCTTTTAATCATTTCACCATAGTGACCCTTTCTGAAAGATGCAGGTTTAAGCCACACAATCAGTGTTAATGATCATGATCAGAGCCTACAGGAAAATTATGGAATAATTGTCTGCATTGTAAAATTCTTTAAATTAATGTTTTAGATAGACTGAAAATTGAAAATGAAGGATCCAGAAGTTTATAAAAAATAGTGGAAAAGGAAATGACTTTTTAAAGCAGAATATAAATTATTTGTTTTTTATTTGCAAGGCCTTAGTCGTTACCAACCTAGTTCTCTTCTTTCGACGTGCATACGACCAAAACTTCAATTTCTCAGAGAAGTATGCGCTGAGCAACTCTTTACATATATTCTGTTTTCTTTAAAAAAAAAAAAATGTGTGTGGGGTGTATGTGTCTGTAATTTCCCCCTCCTCTTTTCTCTGCCTGTGGCTTCTGGCTGAAGGGAAAAGAATAGGAACAAAGAGAATAGTTTTAAAATGTTTTTCATTAAATGATTATTAGTTTCATATATACTGGAAATGTATTAAATCCTTGAAAAAAATTGAGATAATTTCTGTTTCATTTTTAGTGTATTTGCTGAACATATAGAATCTTTCCCCTTTTATTAAACATGTGAAGTAATTTTGGATTTGCTCTATATTGTTTCTCTGTATGTTGAGAATTGGGCAAGGAAAGACTTTTCCTTGCTTTATCATCATTTCCATCACTCTTTCTGGTCATTTCTCCCCTTCATGCATTTCCTTTTCTCCTCTTCCACTCAATTTCAGTTATCAAGCATATATTCACACTGCTACTAGACTCCTCTTCAGAATGCTAAACTCTCCTGACAAGCTAAATTAGCAAAGTAGATCTTCTTTGTCAAAGTGTAAACTGACAGATATTTTAAGAATTCTGTCAATGCTGGGTGCGAGCAGTAGTGTGATAGCTGACAGATAGATACTTACAGTTTATAAGACTGAAAACTGGAAATTATCAGAGCACATTAATATTGAAGAATCTGTGGTTTTCCAGTGGCCCTGATCATGACTCTCTTGTGGTCTGGTTAGGGGTTGGATAACAGAGAACCTTGGGTTTATTCTACTGCTACCTCCATCCTCTGCATCCTTCTTTTTTGTCTTCACTGAGTGACTACCCTCACGGAGATCAAACTTCTCCCACCATTGGTCCTGCTGGTTTGCTGGTATGTAAAACTTATCCTCCTTGCACGTAGTTGAAGCAAAAATATTGGGCCTTTTCCTTGAGCGTTTTATTTTTTTCCCAAACTGATGTGTGTTACTATATGATCGCTGTGATTCACTGATAACATTAAAATATTTTAAACACAATTCTTCAATGTAATGGCAAAACTCAGTCTCTCTGTGGTATGTTTATTTCTTGTGTGTTTGGGTCATTAAATGAAAATAGTTATTAATGTTTAAAATAAGCTTACTGAGGTTTGGGTTTTGATAGTTTTTGTACTAAGGTGTTTAAAAGCAGTAATTATCTAGAGAGTGAATCATTAAGATTGTGTCAACAATTTGTAGTATCCTTTCTCTGGAGCTGAAAACAAATGCCCTTACAGTTACCTTTAACATCGGTTTGCATCAGAGGAAAGGTTTATAAAACCTGAAAATATTAACATTTAAATATAAATACTATTAACTAGCATGAGGTCTTTTCAGAGCTGGGTTTTATATATTTCATTAACAGTTCAACTAAAACCTTTGTTTACATGGATTATATCTTTGTACCTCTAATTTTGCATTTGGAGTAATTCAAAGAGTATTTGCTGAAGAAATTGTTGCAGATGATTTTCCAGTTGATACAGTGTTTTACCTTTAATTTTGTTTATTGTTTCTAGTGAATATTTGGCAATATTCAAGAAGACTGTTGCAATGCATGAAGTGTTCCTGTGTCGTGTAGCAGCACATCCTATTTTGAGAAAAGATTTAAATTTCCATGTCTTCTTGGAATATAATCAAGATGTGAGTATTGATTAAAGCAGTGATCAAGGTTTATTTATAGAGTCATTGGAAAAGGCAGTGAATAGTTAGAAAAGGCTTAAGACCTTTTTATAATGTTCTTATTTTTCAAGGCAGTTTAAAATGACACTTTTTCAGCCGTAATGCAGTATTTCCATAGAACTTGAGTAGGCTAATTAAAGAAGTGACGGTAAATCATGTTGCAACGTGGGACATTGATTTTCATGCTGAATTGTGAACTTCTTAAGAAATAGGGTTGTCAAATTGGTTAATGTTTCCTAAATTTGAGTTTGGAGTCTTCTGAACCCTTACGGGGAGTTCCAGGGAGGTGCCTGAGCTAAAGAATTCCATCTAACTTTTGGGTTAATCGTTGACTCTTGATGTGTTTAACTCACCTCTTCAGTGCTGATCACTCCTAAGTTTCCTCCCTCCCCCCGCCTGAAAACCCCCTTATTGTGCAAAAAGAGAGATTGAGGTGGTGGAGCGTTAAAGATTTCTTCTTTGGTGGTGCTGGCAAAAAAAACTGCTTTTAGTGGATGGGTGATACACATTTTGGAACCTATATTTGGATGACAAAATTAACTCGTAATTTTAGCAGAAAACAAATGTAGCATAGTGCTTGCTTGCTTACACGTCAGCATCAAGGTCAAGGAGTTTTGTGTATAGAAATTTGCTTTTTCTGGTTTGGTTTTAGTAGATAGGACAAAAATAATGTCGTAAGTCTTACCAGTAGAGAAAATGAAAAATTTTTAAAGGGTATATGCAGTAATCAAGATCACAGAAATATACCATTTTAAGAATAGGTACTTTCAGAAATGTAAATATGGTATGTGATGCTGGCATGTGGTCATTTATAACTAGAAATTGTAAAGAATGCTGGCTATATCATGAATTATAAGAAGCTAAAAATGATTCATGAGTAAGGTTGAGAAAAAACACATGAAAGAATGCTGTCATTGCTTTGTACCTTTAAGTTTGTTTTTGCTGGGCCTTGTTTATGGGCTGGGCTAAAGCCTTAGTAATTTGGGAGAGCAGCGCAGGTATAAAGTGAGGTGCAGTGATCTCGGTGCATTGAGGCCGTTCAGCTAGAGTAGCTCACGCTCCAAGTCCTGTTGCCACAGCCCTTAGTACTATCTGAAATTATCTCTGTATTTTTAAAATTGGTTTGTATGTTCATTATCTAGTTCCCTCTACTAAAATGTAAGCTCTCTGAGAGTCAGACTTTAATTTTTCACCACTGTATCTTCGCTATTTGAGGATAGTGCCTGGCAGTTAAGATACAAAATAAGTATTTGTTAAAGTAGTCCGTGAAAGATTGCTAAATATTTAGATCAGCTTTATAAATTGCTTTCAGAAATCTTGGATTTCATAAGTTTTCTCCCACCAAGGTAGATTTACTTTTCTTCCTTACAAACTAATAATATCCTTAATAGAGGGAATGATGCTGCTGCATTATAATAACGCTTTTAATATCAGCAAATGGTGTTTTGGAGAAAGCCTAAAAAGATGGACTGCAAAGTGTTTTGCAAATATTCTTGAATTAACAGCAAGTACCTTAACAGGCTGTAGAAGATTAAAGGCTCAAAACTAAAAGGTTTTTCTCACTCTTGTTTGTAAAACTGTTTTCTCAGATCCTTTTTCGGTTCAGTGGTGCTGGAAAAGAAACTTGTATGTGCTGTTGTGTTACCTGTTTCAGAGTCCTGGGATCGATGAGCTGTTGAAGTAGGGCCAGGGTATTTGAGGTCGAAAAGGGCCATGGGGCATATGGGAGGTCTAGGAAAGCCTCTTCCAGCTTTGGTGGTGTGAGAAATGGCCACTCCTATGGGGGAGTGATTGCCTCTAGTATTGCATTACTTATGTAGCTGTGCTCCTTCTCCGTTTCCAGTAGGTATAGTCATAGTTTACTGAACAGTAGATTAAATATTTAACCTATGTAACACCCTAGCCTCCATTCATTCTTCCTTCCTCATCAGTGGCCACACACAGGTCCTTGCCGTCACCCTGACCTGCTTTACCTCTGAGTTCTTGAATCCTAGTATTATAGACCACAAAAGAAGCCTTCCATCCACACAGCCCTCTTTTTCCCTATTCCCATTAGAGTTGTTCTTTGACTCACTGGTACATCTAGACCCTTGACCTCTCCTACGCTTTGACCCTGTCAGCAGCCTTTTGTCTTTGTCCTCAACTAGCCCAGAGTCCCGGCTCCATCATTTATAACAAGGTTATAACTTTAGACAGCTCTCTCCCATTTTCCATGAAGGCTGATTTCAGCTTGCAGCAGTAGCCCTTGATCAGATAGTGACCCTATTCACAGGGAAGTGGAAGCCGATCAGAAATCAAATCTGTGACTTCCTGTATCCCCCACAACCTCCAGCCACTTTGGTAGCCACAGTTGTTTATTGCCTTCCTTTGTTTGTTTTTACTTCTTCTTTTCCAATCTGGATGCCTTCTATTTCTTTTTCTCACCTAACTGCCCTGGCTAGAACCTCCAGTACAGTGTTTCATAGAAATAGATGAGAGCAGGGTCCGGCCCCGTGGTTAAGTTCGTGCGCTCTGCTGCTGCGGCCCAGGGTTTTGCCATTTCGATTCCTGGGTGCGGACATGGTACTGCTCATCAAGCCATGCTGAGGCAGCATCCCACATGCCACAACTAGAAGGGCCCACAACTAAAAATACGCAACTATGTATTGGGGGGCTTTGGGGAGAAAACGAAAAAAATAAAGTCTTTAAAAAAAAAAAAAAGAAAGAAAGAAATAGACGAGAGCAGACATCCTTGTTTTGTCCCTAATCTTAGGAAGGAAGCATTTGCTATTTCACTCTTTATTTAGTATGATGTTGGCTGTGTGTTTTTCATAGACACTGTTTATCAGGTTGAAGAAGTTCCCTTCTATTCTAGTTTGTTGAGTGTTTTTGCCATGAGAAAAAATGTTTTTATCATGAAAAAGGACATCTATTGAGATGATCATGTGGTTTTTAGCCTTTATTCTATTGATGGTACATCGTGCCTTTCCATTTTGACTAAGATATCTTTCTAGCTATGCTGGATCCCATGTGCTTCTGGACCTTTGGGATCTCTTCTGAGTTTTCCTCTTAACCCTGTGGCTCCTTTCCAGTCTCCTTCATGGGCTTTTCCCTCCATATCTCCATTCTTTTAAATCTGATCCTTCCAGGGTTCCTCCTTGAGTCCTCTAGAAGTCTAGAAGTTCCTTTAGACTTCTAATTCTATAAATTCTCCCTAAGTGATCTCATCTACTCCTATGGCTTCACATATTCTAATATGCTCTTAATTTACAAATCTGGATTACTCTTGAGTCCCATCCGTATTTGTTGAACGGTCTCCTGAAAAGCTCCATTTATGTGTCCTCTGGGTATTTTACCCTCACCTGAACTCCCCTTTAAACCAATACCTCCTTTTCTATTCTCTGTCTCAAAGAAGGTACCACCACTTCCCAGGGCCTTAAAACCTGAAAATTACCCATGACTCCTGCTATTCCCTGTTCCTTTGAGGAGTCACCAAATCCTCTTTGTTTTGCTCCCTTACTATATTAGGAATGTGTCCGCTTCCTTCCATTGCCAGGCCTAAAGGTTAGCTCTGACTTTCATAGTTCTTGGCTGGGTTATTGAAGCAACCCCTAACTAGTTATTCATCCTCCAACCTAATCTTTCTCATCCTCTAAGTCTGTATTAAATTCCTTGTGTGCTGGCCTAGTGCCCTGTGAATCCCACTGACATTACACCCCTCATACTATATTTAATCGTATGCTTACTTCTCTGTATCCTCCTCTGTACCATAAGTTACTTTAAGAGTAGGGGCCATCTCTTAATCTTTATATTTACAGTGCATGACTGAAATAGACACTCATTAATGTTTTGTTAATGAGTGAATTAATGAATTAATTAATAAAAATACAATTAAAAAAAGAAAACAGTGCATTGGGAGGTCTAAAGATACAGCAGTGAATTCCCTCTGGGAGTTTAGAAGGATTTCATGAAGAGATGCCCTTTAATTTGGATGTTTAATTAAGTCTGAATAGAATTTTTGATGAGAGAGGGGATACTATTTCAGGTACAGAGAACCTGAGTTCCAAGCTCCTTTTGAAAACTATTTGAAACATAAGACGTGTGGGGTAGAGTGGTTGGTAGAAAGGTAAGTTGAACCAGATTGTTGAAAGTCTCAAATGCCATGCTAAGGAGACTGGCCTTCATTCTCTGAACGTCGTGAAGCTCTGTGAAGTTAGTGAGTAAGGAGGAGATGTTCAAAATTTGGTTTTGGAATGTTGTCCCAAGCAGCAGAATGGATTGAATTGAGGAGTTGGGGGATGTTAACTAGTAGTCCAATGTAGTAGTCTAGAGGTGGTGAGGACTTTTACTAGGACAGTGGGAATGGAAAGGGACAGATTTAGACATTTGCTGGTAGAATTTGAGCTTTGAGAGAAAGGAGGAAGTTGTAGATTATTTCAAGATATTCATGAGGTTTTAGGGAACACATGGGAGTCCAAGAGACTGCTTGGTGGATGGAGGGGTCATGAATATAGGGAACCAGAAAGAGGAAAAATCTGGAGATTAGATTATGAGTACTGTTTTAGGCACATCTAATGCAAGGTTAGCAGAATCTCCATGCAACAAGGATATGATTTAGGCAATTGGACATAGGATCTAAGTTTCAGGAAAGAGCTTAGGGGTAACGATCAAGACTTGTGTCAGTTACATAAAGGTGAGCATTGAAGCCATGGCCATGGGTAAGGAAATTAGATGGGATGTTCCTATCTGGGGCGTCCTGATGCAGCAAGTGGTAGAGTCAAGCGTTAGCTGCTTCTTCGTTTTGCGTTTAAATAACCATTCATGCTATGCAAAGTCATTTTTTATATACCTGTACTATAAACTGCTGACCCCAAAAACAGGACAAGAGATGATATTTGGATGAGTTCAGAATGGAGAATTTGCAGAAAATATTTTCAGAGCTTTTACAGAATCATATGGTGGTATATTTTACTCCAGTAAATTTCACATATTTAAAGGAACTTCTTGATTAACTTTTTAGTTGTCTTTATATTATTTAGTAGTGTTTGACAAAGTATAGTGAGAGAGCTTTTTGCAATAGAATTATCAAATATCCTTGTCAAATTTGAGATATCTAGACCTTCTTGTAGGTCAGCTGAATTTGAATCTTTGAGAGTGAGGCCACACTCCTTTTTAATGTCCTAAAGTTTGAAAATCACAGGTACACATGATGAAACTGCCACTTTATTAAGCTTGAAAACTGGGATCCTTTGGAAATTGCCATTTTGCTGTCAGAGAATAGAGGAAGCACTGCTTTCCGTTTGTAATATAAAAAAAATGCTAACTTCAATTTACCTTCCTTTCAGTTGAGTGTGCGAGGGAAAAATAAAAAAGAGAAACTTGAAGATTTCTTTAAAAACATGGTTAAATCAGCAGATGGAGTAATTGTTTCAGGAGTAAAGGTAAGACTTTATTTGACCAAGAGGTATTGGTTTGAGAATTTACTTCTTTTAAGAGGGAGACAGATTGAGGTTTCAGATGCGCAGGTTATATTGGAGTAAAAGAGAAGTTCACACAGGAGGATCCTTAGGCCTGGGAAGCTGAGCCCCGCGCCCTGGGTTCCACTCTTTGGAGAGTACCTTTCTTCAACGGCTGAGAGGTCTCAGGTCCAAGGGGATTGCCCACCTGGAGCCCCCACGCCCCTTCCCTCCAAGCCGGACCGTGCTCCAGGTCTCTGGAACCTCCTATTTCCCTGCCCAGTTCCCAGGCTTTGTTCCAGGTCCTGCCTGGGCTTCTCTGAGCTCATCCTGCAGTGGGTGGACTGTGCCACTGGTATATGCACTCGATGGGTGATCGAGGGGTGACCATGGGGCAGCTGGGTAGAGGGAAGGAACAGGGAGAAAATCATTGTGCAGGATGGAATGTCCAGCCACATGCACACGAGGTCTCTCTGTGCCTTAGAGAACTACAGGGTGGGGCAAGAAGAGGGGCGGCCTCCATTTGTACGCTTGGCCTTGGCCTTACAAATGTTGGGGGAAACCTGGGTTCCCATTTGGAGTTCGAAGAGCTCAGCTGAGGTTATCTCTTCCTCTGAATCTCGGTTTCCCATTTTCTAAATGTGGTTAATAATATTACCTACCTCACAGGATTGTTGGAAAGATTAAACGAGGTAATATGTGTCATAACACTTACAGAGTTAATTATTTACCTAAATGAGACCTAAATTTTCTTAGTGATGTTCTAAAAATGGTACAAGAATTGATTTATCTGAAAACTTTTACCATTAAAATATGAGAAAAATGTTTATATTACGTTATCAAGCAAATACTAAAAAAGAGAAATAGTGATGCTTTATCACCATTGCCTGTTTTTATAGATACATCTACAATAAAACTTAGGTGTGAAATACTATTTATCTGATTTCTACTTTGATTTTTCAGAGATAGGTCAAGTGATGTGTTGACGATGCATGTGCTGTTTATTAATAATTAAAAATTAGTGGGGCCAGCCTGGTTGCACAGTGGTTAAGTGCATACGTTCCGCTTCAGCGGCCTGGGGTTCGTCAGTTTGGATCCCGGGTGCAGACATGGCACCACTTGGCAAGCCATGCTGTGGTAGGCGTCCCACACATAAAGTAGAGGAAGATGGGCACTGATGTTAGCTCAGGGCCAGTCTTCCTCAGCAAAAAGAGGAAGATTGGCAGCAGTTAGCTCAGGGCTAATCTTCCTCAAAAAAAAAAAAATTAGCTGCTTCCTAATAAGGACTCAGCTTACTTCCATTTTGATGCTGCTAGGCATTAATTTTGAACATTTCTCTTAGCATTAAATGTAAACCACTATATTATTAAGATTTTAATTTAATTTTATGTTAGTAATAACTAACATTTTTTGAAGATTTACAATGTGTTGCTTAGTAGCTCACATTTTCTTATTTCATCTTCGCTACAACCCTGCAAGTTAGATAGTTTTATCCCCGTTTTTACAGTTAAGAAAACTGGTACACATGAACTACAGATTTTAAGTCACATTTTATCCGTACTTTATCTTCTTGCATTCTGTTGATGTGTCTTGAATTACATCATGTCAACTGATGCTTTTTCATTAAATGATTGCTATTGTCAAAGAGGGGGAACTACTGTTAACAATTTTTATTTTTAATGTATATTTAGCTTTGTTCCCAAAAAAGGTTGAAGATGCTAGTTAACGCCATAACTGCTCCCAGATAGTTGGTTTGGCCAGGTTCCCCAAAGCAGAGAGGGCCCTGTTGAGAAGGCCCGGCAGCCTTCAGGCACGGCCCATAGAATACATGAGACCAAGAGAGAGAGATTTTCGCTTGTCTAGCAGAGTTTCTTTCTTTTTTCTCGGGAGCCATCGGTCACTCCCGCTGGCATAGTTATTTGTTGGGGAGGCCGGATTGGAGAGGCAGAGCTCAGGAGCATGTTTCAGAGTACAGCATGTGAACGTGAACCACGTGGGGAGCTCAGCCTGGGGACACAAACCACAGATTTCTTCCTTGAGAGATGGAAACGCATGTCTGTTAAAGTCTGAACTTATTGATGAAATCACTCTAACACCTGATTATTAGAGGATAGCTGTGCTGTTTTATTGATGATCTTTTATGATTAGAATGATAAACTGATTTGCGTATTATACTAAAGCAAATAAGTGAAAAAAGTTTTTTTCTTTTGATCTTATAGGATGTAGATGATTTCTTTGAGCATGAACGAACATTCCTTTTAGAATATCATAACCGAGTTAAGGATGCATCTGCTAAATCTGATAGGATGACAAGATCCCACAAAAGTAAGGTTTTTTCTCTATGGCTAAAGCTTACACTTTTTAATGGTATAATTGTAGAGTCGTGTTACTTACAGTTTAAGTCCTGATAACGAGCAGTGGTTCTTGAACTGCGGTCTATGGAACTTTGACCCCGAGACCCTTTTAGCAAGTCTGTGAGGTCAAAAGTACTTTCACTGTAATCTTCCGATGCTTTTTGGCTTTTTTCAACATATTGACTTTTACACTGATGATGCAGAAGCCATGGTGGATAAAATTGCTGGTGCCTTAGCACAAGATCAAGGCAGTGGCACCAAACTACTTACGGTCACTGTATTCTTTCTCACCATGCATTTGCAATTAAGTAATCATTTCAATTAAGAATTTACTTGATGAAGCACTAGAACTTTTTAATTATAATTAATCTCCTCCCTTGAGTACACGCTGTTTTACATTCTGGGTGATGAAATGGGAGGTATGCATAAAGCACTTGCATACTGAAGTGTGGTAGACTCTAGAAAAGCCTTTTAGTGATTGAGTTGCAGCTGAACTAGCTACTTTTTTTCAGAGAACACCATTTTTACTTGAAAGAATGACTGACAGACAAATTGTGGTATGTATTATTCAGACTTAAGTATTTGGTAGACATTTTCTCAGAAATTAACCAAATGAGCCTGTCACTTCAAGGGAAACAACTGACAGTATGTGTTAACAATGATAAAAGTCAAGCTTTCCAGCAATAATTAGAATTTTGGAAAACTTGTATCCATCACCATGAGCTTCCCAATAATGAAAGACTTATCTAAGGAGATTGATAATAATATTAGTGAATGTGAATTTTTGATATTATATACTGAAGTGTGTCAACATTTGGAAGATTTGCATAATTCATTGAATTAGTATTTTCTGAATGATCAAGTGCATGAAGTTACAAAATCATGTATGTAAAAGATCCATTCAAAGTGCAAGATAGACCAGTGGGGTTTTTTGAACAGCTTTATTGAGATATAATAGATATCATAAGCTGCACTATTCAGCATATACAGTTTGATAAGTTTTGACTTGTTTGAAATCATTGCCACAATCAAGATAATGAAATACCCATCACCAGCGAAAGTTTCCTTGTGGCCCTTTGAAGTCCTTGCTTCCCATCCATCTTCAAGCTACCATTGATCTGCTTTCTATCTCATATAGATTAGTTTGCATTTTCTAGAATTTTGTGTACATAGAATAAGACAGTATGTACTCTTTAGTGTCTGGCTTTGAAACTCAACAAAATTATTTTGAGATTCATCCGTGCTGTCATATGCATCAGTAGTTCATTCCTTTTTATTTCTGAGTGATATGCCATTATATGGCTATACCACAGTTCTAACCATTCAGCTATTGCTGGACATTTGGGTTGTTGCTAGCTTTTGGCCATTATGAATAAAACTGACATGAACCATCTGTATATAAGTCTTTGTATAGACATATGCTTTCATTTCTCTTGGGTATTACCTAGAAGTAGAATGGCTGGGTCATGTGGGAAGTGTATGTTCATTCAGCTTTTTAAAAAATTGCCAAACTTTTTTCCAAAATGATTGTACCATTTTACATGCTGTGTGTGAGAGTTCCAATTGTTTCACATCATTGCCAGCAGGGATGGTCAGTCTCTTTCATTTTAGCCATTCTAATACGTTAGTAGTGGTGTCTCAATGTGGTTTTAATTTGCATTTCCCTAATGACTAATGATGTTGAACATCTTTTCTGTGTAAGTCCTCCAACTTTGTTCTTTCAAAGTTGTTTTGATCCCCCTAGGTTCTTTACATTTTCATACGGATTTTAGAATCAGCTTGTCACTTTCTACAAAAATGCCTCCTCAAAGAATGATGCAAGAATTTGTCGTTCTTTTGATTGGAACTGTATAGAATCTGTAGATCAGTTTGGAGAAAATTGACATCTTAACAGTATTGATTCTTCTGACTCAAGAATATGGTATATATCTGTCCATTTAGTTAGGTTTTCTTTAAATTCTCTCAGCAATGTTTTATAGTTTCCAATGTACCAATGTTATACATCTTTAGTTAGATCGATCCCTAATTATTTTTTGATGCTATTGTAAATGATGTCGTTTTTAAATTTGTTTCTAGTTCTTCTTTACTAATATATAGAAACACGACGTATTTTCAATATTGATCTTCTATCTTGCAAACCATACTAAACCATACTAATAGTAGTACTATTCTACTACTAATAGTAGACTATTAGTTCTAGTAACTATTTTGTGGATTCCTTAGGATTTTCTACATAGATGATCATCTGCTAATAAAAAGTTATGCTTCTTCCTTTTCAATTTGTATGCCGTTTCTCTTTTCCTTGCCCTGATGTACTATAGCTATACCGTCCACTCCAGTGCTGATGGAAGTGGTGGGGGCAGGCATTTTTGCCTCATTACTTATCTTGTGGGGAAAGCATGCAGCTTCAAACCATTAATTATGTTGTCATGTGTAGGTTTTTCTTAGATGCGTTTTATCAGGTTGAGAAAGTTCTCTTAAACTCCTAGTTTTCTGAGAGGGTTTTTTCTTTTTTTAAGTCAGGAATGAGTGTTGGATTTTGTCAGATGTACTTTTTGCAACTATTGAGATAATCATATGGTTTTTCTTTTTCAGTCTATAAGTGTGGTTAATTGCATTGATTGACTTTCAGATGTTAAACCAACTTTGAATTCTTGGGATAGATATCACTTATCCAACTGGGGTTTAATGTAACAGAGTACAAAAAGTTCGTTGATAGGCTTTTAGATTCCACATTGCTAACTCTTAAAGAAACTACTACTTGTTGAGTTTTGATGTGGTATCAAAGAAGAATATCCTCAATTATCTGAAAATAGTAGTAAAATACGTCTTCCCTGTCAGTTACACGTCTGTTTGAGGCTGGATTTTCTCTACATACTTAAACAAAAACAATATATCGCAGTAGGTTGAATGCAGAAGCAGATAAGAGAATCCAGCTGTCTTCTGTTAAGCCGGACACAAAAGAGATTTGCAAGAATGTACCAGTCACTCTGCTCACTAATTTAAATTTGAAATTTAAATTTAAAGCTATTGTAAATGTGAAATATTATTTATGTTAACATAATGGTTTTGATATTGTTATTTTAAATGAATTAGTAAATATTTTAAAATTTTGTTTTACTTTTAAAAAGAAATACAGTACATTTGATAAATATAACTGACATAAATGAAAGCTCTTCAGGGTCCTCAGTAGTTTTGAAGAGTGTAACGGAGCCCTTAGACTAGAAGGTTTGAGAACCTCTGATACAGACACTCACTCAGTAGGGACCTGAAAGTGTGAGCCTCTATTTTTGAGGATTGTTACGTGTCGGAGTAGAAAGGAGGAAATGCAGAAGTCTCTGGCTTGGTAGCTTCTGTTCTTGTGTCATTCTTTTAGGAGGGTTAAGAATTATTTTTATATTTTATTTTCTTATAGCTTTGTGATTTGCAGATTTCTTCTAAGAAGTAGTGGTTTATACTTGCCTGTTCCATAATTAAGAACTCTAAAGTAAAAGTGTGGGAAACCTGAATTTCTTCCTAGATTCATTACCAATTTGCTTTAGAGCCTGTTAGACCACATGTTTAGTCTTATGTGGGTTTCCTTGTTTATAAAATGACATTAAGGATAGAATATCTTACACTTTTACTCCTCTATTAAGAAAAAGTTTGTAAATATGAAACGGTACATACTAGTGTGGATTGTAATTATTAGGAATTAGGAATGCCCTTAATTTTAGGTTTGATGACTTAAAATGGGACTATACTTTTTTTTTTGTAAGATTTTTTTTTTTTCCTTTTTCTCCCCAAAGCTCCCCAGTACATCGTTGTATATTCTTAGTTGCGGGTCCCTCTAGCTATGGCATGTGGGACGCCGCCTCAGCGTGGCTCGATGAGCAGTACCATGTCCGCACCCAGGATTCGAACCAACAAAACACTGGGCTGCCTGCAGCGGAGCACGAGAACTTAGCCACTCAGCCATGGGGCCGGCCCCCCTACTATACTTTTTAATTTCTTACAGACCTATTTAGTTCATAAACTAAATATCTGTTAGCATATGGCATATCTATTTTGTACCAACCATTTTGTTAGACGGTGGTGACTTCAAGATGAAGAAAATATAGTCTGTGCCTTTAAGGAGGGCAAAAAATTACAGTACATTGTAATAAGTCTTATCACAGAGGATGTATTGTGGCTGTGGAAACGTGAAGAACTGCAAAGGTAGAGAATCAATCATCTGTTAAGGAAACTGAAGAAATTAGTGATTCTTCTTATTTCTATTTATTGACCCAGACGGAATGGTGCTTTAGGAGAGATGACAGTGAACCTGTTTTACAAAATACTCATCATAAAGTAAAAACCACTTCTTTGTAATGAATGAACTTTGCCTGGAGTATGAAAACTTAAGCCTTTCAGCATCATTGTGAATTCTGAGGTATAACATCAGGGCAGTTTGCATATTGTCTGTGATCACATAATAATGTGAAGAGGGTGATGTTCTCAGAGCCAGGTGTTATTAGAATCCTGGAATTTCTTTCTCTAAAAAGTACTTTCAGGGCCAACTTAAGCATAAAATATTAATGTATTCGATAGTAAACACAAAACTCGTTTTTGATTCCTGCCTCTTGATAAACCAACCTTTAAGTGATTTTTAGGTATTACTTATTTTTTAAATGAAACTTGGAGGTTAAGATAATAGGAAGGAGTCCCACCTACAAAAGTTACCGTGCACAGATGTTAAAATAGGTGTTTTGACTAACACTAAGCACAGTAAACAGTCACTAAATTTCAGATTTATCAGTTGAACATGGTTTTGTACAACACAAGTATAAGAATTACTCTTTTGTTAGAGAATAAACACATGAAAGCCTGTAAAACTACTGCTAGTATACGTGGGAATTTCCATTCAAAGTAGGCATGTCTTGGATGTTATTAATTAATAATAGCAAACATTTGTATAGTACTGTACTTGCTATTTGCTAGGTACCATAGTAAGATTTATTAACTCATTTAATCCTCCAAATAATTACAGGAAGTGGGTACTATCATTATCTCCCATCTCCAGGTGAGGAAATTGAGGCATAGACAAGTTAAGTGATGTGCTGGTTTTCGGGAAGCTGGGATTGGACCCCAGGCAGTAGGCATTGCACTGCACAGTCCTTTTTCTGAAACCAGTAGAAGCATCCGTTATAATCTTTTCGCAACAAGCGCCTTGTCCTGCGGGGCGAGCCCTAGGAAGAGTATTGTGCTGAAGTTGAATACTTGGCTTCCCAGCACCCAAGGGTAGTGTGCCACCATTCATCTAGCTTGCCACATGCCATCATTTCCCCTCCTCCCTCAGGGACTGGGTGTAAATCCTGCCTATTTCACTTCCTACGTATCTTTCAGCTTTGTGGGTTTCTCTCTGCTCTCACCCTTCCCACGGTCTTCATCCTGACCCTCTGTGTCTGACACAGCAGTTTCCTAGTTGCTCACCCTCCCTTTGTGTCTCTCTACTTCTAGTCTTTACTCTGGGAAGCAGCATTGGTTGTCTAAAATCGTTATCGGGTTGATTTTACCACCACTATGCTGTAGGACTGTTTAATAACACCTGTTCCCGCAACTTCAAATGCAGTCTTTATCATGGCGTACAAAACCCTTTCTTCCCCAAGTTGCTTCCAATTTATTTCTCTGTCTGCAGCTCCCTGCACTGCCCTCCGACCCTGCAGGCCATACTCCCAGAAGGCTCTCTGAGCAGACTCTGCTCTGTCAAATCTCCCTGGCCTTTACCCATGCTCTTCCCTTCACCCAAAATGCTCTCCCCTCCACTTTGCCCGGTAAAGATTGCTCGTCCCACAAGCTCCAGCTCATTCTGTAGTGTCTTCAGATCCTCGCCCGACTCACTCGGGGAATCGTGTTTCCTCTGCTCCCAAACTAGTTTGTACCTCCATCTAGTATAATGTTCCTCATACTGTGTTAGAGTCATGTTTGTCATTTCCTTCACTAGACTGCGGGTGTCTCGTATCACATACACATTGTTTGACAGGCTCAGTAAGTATTTTTGAATCAATGAATAAATATATTAAATTCTTAAAACTTTTTCTCTAGGTGCCGCAGATGATTACAATAGAATTGGTTCTTCGTTATATGCTTTAGGAACTCAGGATTCTACAGATATATGCAAGTAAGGATTCTAATTAAAAACCGTAAATATGCATAAAACAGAAAACTTTTGTTGGCAGCCTGGGCACACACAATGCTTCTGACCCAGCAGGCATTTTGGAGTATTTTTATCCAAACACATTGATAATAAGGAGCTTCTTACGACACGTGGGTCAGCGTCATTTTTCCTCCTCCCTTTCTCTCTCATTTTTTAAATTTGAGAAATAAAAATGGACTTTAACGTATAATTTTAACATTTGCAATGTTTGATTTGATGAAAACGGGCTGATTTGTGTTTGTGTGTGTGTGAGAGAGAGAGAGGCAGATAGAATTTATGTCAAAATGTTGTTAGGTTTGATAAAGCTTATTATAAATAAGAAAGGCTATTTTGGAAGTAGAATATATATGTGTGTATTTCATTGGAGCCCAAATTCACTTTTAAAGTCAAATTTGACGCTATCGGTTTGCCCTTTTTCCAGAGGCCGGCTCTTCCAGTTTCCCGGCTGAGTGAGTGTTAGAGCGTCCTAGGGGCAGCCGGATGGGAAGGTGGTGGCACGTCAGTGTAGAAAAGCTCTCTAGAAGTTTGCTTACACAGCTGTCCTTTGCTTACTTTATGCTAGTTTTCCACTTTAATTTTAGTCTAACTGTAGTTCATTTTAGTTGCTCCCATAATATTGTTTAAACTCAGCTCTTCATTGAAAAATAATTCAAACATATTTGTAAAACGTTTTTAAGTGGGAAAACTATTTTCATAGTCCATGTCTGTCTCCAGACCACATCCTGAACTTTTGTCTAGTCTATCCTGTCTCAGTAGACAGAGAAGATCCAAGTTTTTCTGCAGAGCAAGGTACCATCGCTTACACTAATTAACAGGCTACCTTCCCGAAGAGTTAGTTGTTAAGAATTTGATTAGAGGAAACAAGTCAACCTTGCCACGTGTTATCTGACATAAACCTGTCAAAGCAAGTTCTTTTCAATAAAGCAGAGTTCATCAGATTGTGCTTTTGCTTTCAAAGTATTTGCCCGAATCCAATTATAATGTCATCTATAATTACAGGTTTTTACAGAATATCCTTTAACAGTTTGGCGTTGGGATATTTTTTACTTGGTGCCAGCATTTGACAGAGAGGCTGTTTAGTTAAAAGTGAAAGTGAATTCTGAGACAGAGACTGGTCATCCATTTCTTTGTTTTCCAAAACAAAGCAGCTCTATCTGAAAATGTTTAAAACATAGCATTCAAATAACTTCAAGAACTGTCCCGGCTGCAGTGTTTTCCTTTTAAATCAGCCTTTCGTCTCTTTGGATGTGACCCTTCTGTGCTTCTGTGATAATGTTGAAGGTGTACGCTTTATTTAGTTTTATGTGGCACATTGCTAAAGAATATCAGGACAAATTGTGAAGTTTAATGTATGGCTTAGACTGTCCTCTTGAAATGAGAAGATTTTCCGTAACAGCAGATTTCAAGCATCTGTCCCCTGGGTGGAGGTGGAGAGATTTTTGTGGAGCTGAATGTCATCTGCAGTGAACAAGACCATCCGATCTCGTAATGAGACGAGAATGTCCATTAGCAATGTGGTTTGGGGGCACCTTCTCTGAACATTTGAGATGGAAAATTCTTTCAGAGGTAGCTTCTGATGAAGTATTTTTCCTTTCCAGGTTTTTTCTCAAAGTTTCAGAACTGTTTGATAAAACAAGAGTAAGTACCATTAATTACCCTTTGGGAGCGTAGACCTCTGCGTCCAGTCGTGTTCACCTTGTGGCTGTGTTTAACTTTACTGAGGAAGACGCGTTGCACTTCAGGATGAAGGGACACATTTAGACTTGAACATTTCGAGTTGCTCAGGAAATTGGAATTTTGTTACGGCCTTTTGGTGTTTGTGCAAAAGTTCACATTTTTGATCAGAAAACACGTTAATTACGGACACTGGGTTTATTTTTATGAAGAATTGTGCTTTTCTGCGACTTTGTAAGCCCGAAGGAAGTCTTAGATTCATTATAATTTTACCAAGACTGTATTGCTTTTGATTTCCCGTGAAAGACTGGTTTAAAACTGAATTGTGTAAAAAAAAGAAAGAAAGAAAGAAAGTGAGTTGTATCAATATGAGGCAAGTGTACAACTGCAGGAGGTTTCATTCACAGTAGTAATAATTTAATATTAGCATAGTCTTGGTTTTCAGGGATTGGTCTTAGGTACAATAATATAATAATATTTAACATTTTTGATCAGTTGATAGAATAGTGAAAATGTTTATTAGATGCTTAGTGGTGCTTAGCTGAGAGTGGTGGTGGCTAGTCCATTGCAGAAAGCTGATTTCGGCATGACCTTGTCAATTGAGTGATGTGGTGGAGATAAATAAAGGAAAAGGAGGTGTTCGGTGCCAGCCACGGTGGCCTAGTGGTTAAGTTGAGCATGCTCCGCTTCAGTGGCCTGGGCCCAGTTCCCGGGCATGGACCGGCACCACTCTGTTAGTGGCCATGCTGTGCTGGCAGCCCACATACTCAAAAATAGAGAAAGATTGGCATGGATGTTAGCTCAGGGCAAATCTTCCTCAGCAAAAAAAAAAAAAAAAACGAAAGAAAGAAAGAAAGGAGAAGTTCTCTCACAAAGGAAAAAGTCCTTAAATACCTCACTCTTGTTATACCAGGGTCCATATAGCCCTTTGTTCTGCCTTTGATGTTTATTCAATGAGCATTTTCTGGGAAGGTATCATTGTTTTTCTGTGCTTTTGCATCAAGAGACGAGGGATCTATCACAAAATAGCCTTATGAGTCAATTCTTTCAGAAGCAGATGTTGAGGTGGGATTAGAGTACAAGAGATTTATGGAGAAAGAGGGGAAGGAGCAGGAGTAGACGGGAAGAGCCTTCAGGCACAGTGCAGGTCTACCCCTGTGAAAGGAGAGCGCAGAGGAAGGAGGGCTGGGTAGGAAGAGTTTCCGACTTTGGTGCAGTTTTCAGAAAGTTTTGTCCAGGTCAGATGGGAGTCCCTGAGCCACAGTCACCCGTGAGAGGAATTCTGCACCAGGCAAGAGTGGGCCGGCACTGCTACCCCTGTGCTCCGTCATTGGCTGTGTGACATTGGCACCGAGGCCAGGAGGGGAGGATGGAGGGAACCTTCATAAGAACCTGGTTCTGGATCCAGGGAGACTGCAGTCAGGCTTTCGATGAACTGTGTCCGTGCAGCCTGCAGTTTCTCTTGAAGGAGATCTGGGTGGCACATTTCCATAGCCACACGGCCCGTATTGGCTTTGGTGTTTGCATGTTGTTCTGGTTATTATTGCATGTAACAAACCATCCTAGAATCAGTAGCTTGAAACAACCGCCATTTTACTCTGCTAATGGGTTTGGGGGTCAGGAGTTCAGAAAGGGCACAGCAGAGAGGGCTTGACTGCTCCTTGATGTCTGGGGCCTCGACAGAGGACACGTGAAGGCTGGGGGCCGGAATTGTCTGAAGGCACCTATGTCTGGGACTTGATACTGGCCGTCAGCTGGGACTTCTGCTAGGGCTGGTGACTGTAAGACGTAGATGTGGCTTTTCCACGGAGCTGCTTAAGCTTCCTCACAGCATGCTGGCTAGCTTCCAAAAGGGAGCATCCCAAAAGCCGGGAAGTGCAAGCTGCTCGTTTCCTAAGGCCTGGGCCTGGGCACTTGCACAGCATCACTTCTGTACTGGTCAAGCAGCCTTAGAGCCCAGATTCAGGAGGAGGGGACACGTACCCTCCTTCTCAGGGAAGAAGGGGAGCCATAGTTCAAAGCACCCAACATCTGTCTAGCATGTTATCGAAATTTCTCTACATCAATTTTGAATATACTTTGTGTCTGTGCTCTTATCTGTTAGGTTAAGAAGTTCCGTAGGTTTATTTCTCCATTAATCATATTTTTTAAGAAGCTTCAAGTTTTTCTAACGTTTTATTGAAGTGTATTCTATATATAGGAAAGAGCGCATAGCAGTCGTGTACAGCTCAGTGAAATTTTACACATTCAACACACCCATGTCATGAACACCCAGATCAAGAAATAGAATATTACCAGCAGCCAGATGCCCTGCCTCCTTCAGCTGCCTTTGAGTCACCCCCTCCTGCAAGGGTAACCACTGGCCTAGCTTCTAACAGCAGAGATTAGCTTTGTTTTCAGATTTCACATAAATACAGTATGTATTCTTTCTGTGTGTCATTCCATTCCCTCAACATTATGTACATAAAATTGATCCATGTTGTCATATGTAGGTACAATTCTTTCTTTCTTTCTTTTGTTTGAGGAAGGTTAGCCGTGAGCTAACATCTGCTGCCAATACTCCTCTTTTTTTGCTGAGGAAGACTGGCCCTGAGCTAACATCCGTGCCGATCTTCCTCTACTTTATATGAGTGACGCCTGCCGCCGCGTGACTTGACAAGCGTTGCCATGTCCATACCCGGGATCTGAACCAGCGAAACCCTGGGCTGCCGAAGCAGAGCGCACAAATTTAACCATTCAGCCACGGGGCCGGCCCCATCTCTCTTTTTGTTCAGATAAGAGTTAATTTTAGGGGCCCGCCCCATGGCACAGTGGTTAAGTTCACAAGCTCCACTTTGGCGGCCCAGGGTTTCGCAGATTCGGATCTTGGGCGCAGACATGGCACCGCTCGACAGGTCGTGCTGAGGCGGCGTCCCACATACCACAACCAGAGGCACTCACAACTACAGTATACAACTATGTACTGGGGGGCTTTGGGGAGAAGAAGGAATGAAAAAAGACCTAACTTTAATACAGCCAATACAATTATCAATGATTTCCCTTAATGTCATCAGATATCCAGTATGCAGATGTTCCCAGTTGTCTCATAAGTGGCTTTTTCCTGTGGCAGTTGTTTGAATCAGGATCCACACAAGGTCCCCATGTCGTATTTGCTTGATGTAATACATCTGCTCTATCCTCTCTCTCCAGGCTGAAGGAAGAGTTCTCACCTTTTTTGTCTGACATGGCTGCTTCCCGTGTCATCCCAGCTCAGACTAACCCCATGTGTCTGTCACTCTTCAGTGTCTTCAGACACATTTTGCTAATGTTTTGACTCTGTTTTCTGGTTGTGCTCAGCAGGAGGATTGGTTTGCATTACCTAGTCTACCATTGCCAGCCTCTGTGACTTTAGAATCACGTGTACATATCAATTGTTGAAACGAAGAGAGAAAATATAAGTGAAGCTGAAAGGTTATCGATATTGAAACTCCTTACAGCCAAGAACTTGAGTCAAATAGAGAGTCCTTCCATCCGTTCGCAAATCTCCTTTGATCTCGTCTTCTTTTTTCTGTTCACTTTTTCTCAGAGTTACAAAGAAAAGGAACAGGCTAGTAAAGGAGAAGGGAAGAAAACCTAGATTAAATAGGAATGGATACTGTAGGTATTTATAACTGTTTTTAGAGTAATTAAGAAAGAAAACACTGAGTGTAGAATGTAAGTGCTGACTCAATGCTGAATTTTTCTCCTTCTTCAGAAAATAGAAGCACGAGTGTCTGCTGATGAGGACCTCAAACTTTCTGACCTTTTAAAATATTACTTAAGAGAATCTCAAGCGGCTAAGGTAACTTTATCGTTCATTTGTCATTTAAAATGGACTCTTTGACAAAACGCGATCTCTTAGAGGTTGTTAGACTTCAGATTGTTAAAGATGATTTCTCTCTCGATTTAAAATTATATTTTCAAATGTGAATTTTCTGTTTCTCCTTTTAGCAATTGTAGGTCAGGGAACCCCACATAACCCCACATAAAAGTTCCTCTAGAAACTTCTGATACACTAGAGTGGAACTTTTTTGTTTTAATGAATTTGGTATATTTATTCAGGTACAGTACCTGCAGATATGCCCGAATAACAGTAGTATAGCTAAAGGATTCCTAATTTGGTCTTGGTAACTCCTCTACTGAGGGTAAGAGAGCCATAAATCAAAGATTTGTTTTATTTTAAGGCAACTCAAGTTTGCTTTTGGAGGTCTGTCCGTGTGCAAAACTAAAACTCTTACTAACCAAAAAAAGGTCTAACAAAATCATCTAAAAAGCACTGAAAACTTGGCGGCTCAGATGTGCCAAATTCAGTGTTAATTTATGAATTGAGTTATTGTACAGAAAGTTCTCGTTGGATCAGTGGTGCTTTGAATCCCACTCGTTCGTTCCTTGTCAAGTTACCAGTAACCCTCTTCACTCCTCTAGAGGACCTTGAGTGCTTGCAGACACACTGTCCACAGCAAATCACTTTAGATCGCATCGTGTCTTATGAACTATTTACATCGGATGGTCTGGGATCAAATGAATTGTTCGCTTTTGAAGACTTTAAATTCATTATTTTACTATGGTCTATAGTTGTTAGTAGAGAACTTTTTAGAACATGGCCTAAAGGTTAATCCAGACTTTCTAGTAACTGCAAGATAGAACTGACATTGAATTGCAAGAATCAAAACTAAAATGAAGTATCACTATACGTCTTAATCAGAATGACTAAAATGACAACATTCTGACAAAAATTATAGCAACTGGAACTTTCACACACTGTCAGTGGGAATATGATACGATACTTTGAAAAGTTTTGCAGTTTCTTAAAGAATTGAATGTACATCTACCCTATGGTCTGGTCATTCCAGTCCTAGATATTTGAAAGCACGTGTCCCCACAGACGTTTACAGCAGCTTTATTTGTAATAGCTGAAAACTGGCGACAACCCAAATGTCCACCAACAGGTGAGTGGATAAACAAGTTGTGGCATATCCAGACGATGGAATGCTCCTCGGCAGTGAAAAGGAAAGAACTAAACATCACTGAGCAACATGGGTGAATCGCAAAATAATTTTTGCCAAGTGAAAGAAGCCAAGCAATAAAGACCATAGTTCACACTGGAGTTCACTCTTGGTGTTGTATGTTCTGTGCATTTGGACCAATGTGTAATGACTGTCCAGCATTCAAACCATCATACAGAGTAGTTTCACGGCCACAGAAGTCCTCTATGCCCCATCTCTTCATCCTCCTTGCCGCTAACCCCTGTTGATTTTTTTTGTTGTCTCCATAGTTTTGCGTTTTCCAGAAAGTCATCCAGTTGGGCCTTTTCAGATTGGCTTTATTGGCTTAGCAATATGCATCTAAGTTTCCTCTGTGTCTTTTCATGGCTTAATGGCTCATTTCTTTTTAGCACTGAATATTATTCCAATGTCTGGATGTATCACAGTTTGTTTATCAGACCACCTAGGACATCTTCCAAGTTTTGGCATTTGTGAATAAAGCTGCTAGAAACATCCATGTGCAGGCTTTTGTGTGAACATAACTTTTCATCTCCTTTGAGTAAATACCAAGGAGCACAATTGCTGGGTCATACGTAAGAGTATGTTTACTTCTGCCAGACTGCCTTCCAGTGTCTGTACCGTCTTGCATACCCACCGTCAATGAGTGACAGTGCCTCTTCCTTCACATCCTCACCAGCATTTCGTGTTACCGTTATTGTAGTTTCTGGCCATTCTAACAGGCGTGTAGGGGTATCTCATTGTTGTTCTAATTTGCATTTCCCTGATGACATAAGAGGTTGGAGCATCTTTTCACACACTGATTTGCCATCTCTATATCCTCTTTGGTGAGGTGTCTGTTAAAAATTGGGTCACTTATTTTGCTATTGTTGAGTTTTAAGAGTTCTTTGTATATTTTGGATAGCAGTCCTTTATCACATATGTCTTTTGTAAATATTATTTCTTGGTCTATGGCTTGTCTTCTCATTCTCTTGATAGTGTCTTTTGCAGAGCCGAAATTTTTCGTTTTAATGAAGTCTGTGTTATCAATTATTTCATTCATACATCGTGTCTTTGCTGTTGTATCTAAAAAGTCATTATCAAACCCAAGGTCATCTGGATTTTCTCCTAAGTTATCTTCCAGGGGTTTTATACTTTTGCATTTTACATTTAGGTCTGTGGTCCATTTTGAGGAAACTTTTTTGAAGGGTGTAAGGTCTGTGTATAAATTCATTTCTTTGCACGTGGATGTCCAATTTTCCTAGCACCATTTTTTTAAAAGACTGTCTTTTCTCCATTGTATTGCCTTTTCTCATTTGTCAAAGATCAGTTGACTGTATTTGTGTGGGTCTAGTTCTGGGCTTTCTGTTCTGTTCTGTTCTGTTGATGTATCTGTTCTCTCACCAGTACCACACTGTCTGGATTACTGTCACTTTATAGAAAGGGGTCAAGCAGATAGTGTTCGTTCTCTGACTTGGCTCTTCTCCTTCAATATTGTGTTGGTTGTTCTGTGCCTTTTGCTTCTCTGCATACACTTTATTTTTTATTTATTTTTTTATTTTTTGAGGACGATCAGCCCTGAGCTAACTGCTGCCAATACTCCTCTTTTCGCTGAGGAAGACTGGCCCTGAGCTAACATCCGTGCCCGTCTTCCTCTACTTTCTATGTGGGACTCCTGCCACAGCATGGCTTGCCAAGTGGTGCCACGTCCCCACCCGGGATCTGAACCGGCGAACCCTGGGCCGCCGAAGTGGAACATGCGCACTTAACCACTGCACCACCGGGCCAGCTCCCCATAAACTTTAGAATCAGTTTGTTGTTAGCTACAAAATAACTTGCTGAGATTTTGATTGGGATTATGTGGAATCTGTAGATCAACTTGAAAAGAACTGATTTTGACAACATTGGTCTCCCTATCCATGAACATGGAATATCTCTTCATTTCTTTTGTTTCGATCTCTTTTCTCAGAGTTTTGTAGTTTTCCTCATATAGATTTTGCACGTTATCTTGTTATATTAATACTTAAGTGTTTCATTTTCTGGGGTGCTAATGGAAATGGTAGTATATTTTTACTTTCATATTCCACTTGTTCGTTCCTGGTGTGTTAGAAAGCACTTGACTTTTGTGTATTAATGTTGTGTCCTACAACCCTCCTGTATTCATTTGTTAGTTCCGTGAATTTCTTTGTTGATTCTTTCAGATCTCTACATGAACAGTCGTGTCATCTGTGAACAAAGTTTTATTTCTTATTTCCTTTTCTGATGGCATCAGGCAGGACTTTCAGGACGTGGTTGAGAAGGAGTGGTGAGGTGGCACAACCTTGCACCATTCCACAGCTTCTAGTTTCTCACCTTGGAGTATGATGTCACCGTAGGTGTTTTGTAGATGTTCTTTATCAAGATGAGGAAGTTTCTGGTGTTCCTAGTTTGCTGGGACAATCAACTGATGATTGACAGAGGTGCTAAGACAATTTAGTGGGGGAGAGAATAGACTTTTCCACAAATGGTATTGGGACGGCTGAATAGTCCTATGAGGAAGAATAAAGTTGGCCCCTTCCTCATACCGTGTATCAAAATTCACTCAAAATGGATCAAAGACTTAAATGTAAGAGCTAAAACTATAACATTTTCAGGAGAAAACATGAACACAAACCTTCATGACCTTCAGTTAGGTGCTGGTTTCTTACATGTGACACCAGAAGCACAGCAACCAAAGAAACGATAATGAATTGGACTCTCTTAAAATTGAAAACTTTTGTGTGTCAAAGGACACTCTCAAGAAAAGTGAAAAGACAACCCACAGACTAGGATAAAATATTTGCAAATCATGGAAGTCACTAATAAGCAACTGGTATTCAAAATATATAAAGAACTCTTTAAATCAATGAAAAGACAAATAGCCCAATTCAAAAAGGGACAGAGGACTTGCTAAACATCTCTCCAAAGAAGGTATACAAAAGGCCAACGAAAACGTAAAAAGATGCTCAACATCATTAGCCATCAGGGAAGTGCAACTCAAGACCACAGTGAGACATGACTTCACCCCCCGTGGGTGGCTTTCATCAAAAAGACAGATCAGAAGTGTTGACGAGGATGTAGAGGAATTGGAACCCTCGTACGGTGTTGGTGGGAATGTAAAATGGTGCACCCACTTTGGAAAACAGTCTGGCAGTTTCTCAACAAGTTCCACATAAAGTTATCAGGTGACCCAGCGATTCCACTCCTAAGTAATGAGAGATGAAAACATGTCCACACAAAAACTTGTTCACAGGGCTGGCCCCATGGCCGAGTGGTTAAGTTCACGCACTCTGCTTCGGTGACCCAGGGTTTCGCCAGTTCGAATCCTGGGCCTGGACATGGCACCGCTCATCAAGTCATGCTCAGGCGGCATCCCACATGCCACAACTAGAAGGACCCACCACTAAAAAATACACAGCTGTGTCCTGGGGGGGCTTTGGGAGAAAAAGGAAAAAGATAAAATCTTTTAAAAACCCCACAAAAAAACAGAAAATTTGTACACAAATGTTCATAACCTCATTATTCATACTGGGCAAAAACTGGAAAGAAACCAAATGTCTGTCAGCTGATGAATGGATGAATCATTGTGGTATGTCCATACAACGAAACGTTCCTCAGCAATAAAAAGGAATGAATATGGGTAAACTTGAAAGTTGACGCTAAGTGAAAAAAGCCAAACACAACAGGCCACGAATTATGTGATTCCATTTTTTAATGAAATGTCCCGAGTAGGCAAGTCTTGTAGACAGAGAGCGGATTAGTGGTTGTCCAGGGCTGGGGGGTGTGGGAGGAAATGGAGAGTGGCTGCCAACGCATATGGGGTCTCTTTTAGGGGGACAAAGATGTTCTAAAGTTGATTGGAGTGATGGTTACACAACTCTGTGGGCATAATAAAAACCGTTGGATTGTTCTTTGAATGAGTGAGTCACGTGGTATGTGGATGATCTCTCAGTAAAGCTGATATGAAACTCTGTTGAGAAGAGGGCCCGGCACGCGGTGGTCCCTGTGTAAGCGTTAGCTCTGCTGATGGCGGGAGCGGTGGTGATTGAGTGCGAGCTCTAGAAACACGCGGCGCATGTTACTGTGAAGGTCTGTTTTACAGGACCTGCTCTATCGAAGATCTAGGTCGCTAGTGGATTATGAAAATGCTAATAAAGCACTGGATAAAGCCAGAGCGAAAAATAAAGATGTTCTGCAGGCTGAAACGTCCCAACAATTATGTTGTCAGAAATTTGAAAAAATATCGGAATCTGCAAAACAAGGTACTGTTGTGTTAACCTTTGATCAAAAAGCGTGCTTTAGACTATTGTGTCAAGTAAATAGTTAATCCTAATCTCCTTTGTTCACAGAACTTATAGATTTTAAGACAAGAAGAGTTGCCGCCTTCAGAAAAAATTTAGTGGAACTGGCAGAGTTAGAACTGAAGCATGCAAAGGTATGGTCATAATCAAGACTGAATGAGTTGAGCGACTTAGGATTTAGAAACGAGTCGGGAAATTGATGATAATCCTTTAGCGGCAGTTTCCGTCTGCAGGGGTCCTGTAAGAACTGCTCCTGAATTGGAGTGACGTTTTTCAAGATTATTTCACTGCTTCAAAATATTTGGTTTTAGTAAATGAATGTCCTTCTTCCAGGGATTTTTACGGTATTGTGTACTTCTACTTAAGCCCTTTCTTGTAGTTAATATAAAGATAAAGCTTGGCCCAGACGTATAGTAACTTTTAAAATAGAGAACCTTAGAATGGAGAGGGATTTTAAAGATCCCCTAATTCACACAAGAACAGTATCTGTAATGTCTCTGACGGTCAGCTCTGCAACTCTAGTACCTAGTATGGAAACCAGTATCCGTTTTTGACTAGTTGTTGAAAAGAAATAGATCTTCCTTTTTAAAAAATCCCTGGGGCCGGCCCCGTGGCCGAGTGGTTGAGTTCGCGCGCTCCAAGCTGTGGCCCAGGGTTTCGCTGGTTCGGATCCTGGGAGCGGACACGGCACCGCTCGTCAGGCCATGCTGAGGCGGCGTCCCACGTGCCACAACTAGAGAGACCCACAACTAAAATATACAGCTATGGACAGGGGGGCTTTGGGAGAAAAAGGAAAAATAAAATCTTAAAAGAAAAAAAAAAAAACCTCAGAAATGTAACATTTGCTATCACCAGTCGGAGGGACTGAAAAGTAAAGATGTATTCAAAATTCCCAGAACTATAAATACATATTTAAAAATTTTAAGTCAACTTTTAAATGTTATTTTTCGATAGGTTCATAGCATTTACACTTATCAAGTTCTTAAAGCTTAAAACTAGTAAGATTTCTGGGGCACTCTCTAATGAATACAAATCTACTGTGTAACTTTGACCAACAGGTCAGTTTTGTCACCTAAAGTAGGAGAGAGACCTTGGCTTCCTCGGCTTACGGTTCAGCCTTGAGACATCTGACTACTGTACGTTCTCGATACAGCCTCTCCCCCGCAGGCTAGACATCCTTGGGCTAAACATTTTTCATCCCATACACCTCAACAAGCTGTTCATAATATTATTACCCTCCTGTCATTGCTCTTTGAAATGTTGCCCTGGAAATGGAAACGCCTTCCCGTGCGCGCGCTGATCGTCCCGCACGTTTCTTCCCACAACGTGTTCTGTATGCAGAGGACGAGGGATTTTTAACTGCCGTATTGCACCAGCTTCATGTGGCTTATAACCACGCCATTTTGCTGCTGCTTCTTATAATTCAGTTCTTCAACCGCCAACCTGTAGTTGTGTGTTTAATTTTTTTTTTAGTAATTTTTTTCATTTTTGTTGTAAAACACATAACGCAAAATTTACCATCGTGACCACTTTTAAACGTCCACTTCAGTAGCGTTAAGTATATTCACACTGCTGTGCAATAGGTCTCCAGAACTTCTTCATTTACTGAGCATCTGATTTTTAAAATGTAATTGCAAGCCACATTTGCATCTCTTACGTTTTAGCTTGCTGGTTTCCGCCCAGCACATAGAGTTAGTTCTTTTGGAGACTTCGATTCGGCCATAGAGTATTTGACTATTTTACCAGTGATTTCCTTCCAAGTGATGGACGTTTGTAATTTATATGACTTCTCTTTCATGTCCTCTTCTAAGTTCCAAAGGAATCGACACTGTTAATCTAGTTGTCGCGTGCGTGGCACCAAAAAAGGCTAAAGTTTTAGTTCCCGTCCTTTCTTTCTATCCTAACTGGTATTAACTTATTAATTAATATTCTTTGGTTATAGTTACTTAGATAGTTAGGAATTCACCTATTTCTCCTATCGTCAACCATTACGTTTGCATTTTATCCCCGAAGGCTGTAAGAAGTATTAAATTCCTCATTAAAGTCAAGATATGTGTTGTCTGACTTCCTGGTCTAACAACCTGTCAAAAGAAAATCTTTGGATAAGCTTGGCACGATTTATTCTTACCGAGCCGGTGTTGATTTCTAATGTCCACTGTTTTTGTTCTTTTGAAAGAGGTTGTAAACTGTCAAGGATTTTGTTAGAGACCAGTGAGAGCTTGGCAGACCACGGCCTAAATGCTTTTGTACAGCCCGTGAGCCAGGAATGGTGTTCATAGTTTTAAAGGGTTACAAGAAAAGCAAAAGAATAATATTTCGTGATGTGATAATGATATGAAATCCGGATTTAATCTATAAATAAAGTTTGATGGAATACAGCCAAGCTCATTCATTTCTGCTGTCTCTGATTCCTTTCTCGCTCCTACAGCGGAGTTGAGTAGCTGAGACAGAGACCAAATGTCTCTCAAAGACTAAAATGTTTACTGTTCAGCCCTTTACAGAAAACGTTTGCTGACCCTATTATAGATTGACGTCAGCCTCTGATTCCCGGATTCTATCCTTTTTCCAGTCCTTTCTGAAATGTGTTCCCTGTGTTCAAATTTCTGGTAGCTCTTCTAGGCCAGGGGCTCTCAGCTGGAGGCGATTTTGCCTCTCGGGAGACCCGTCGCAACCACGGGGTGGGTGGGTTACTACTGGTAGGTAGCGGGTAGAGGCCAGGGATCCTGGTAAACAGCCTACAATGCTCAGGACAACGTCCACAAGAAAGGATCATACAGCCCAAACTGTCAAGAGTGCTGAGGTTGAGAAACTCTGCTCTATGTCTAAGATTTCTTTTCTTTCTTTCTTTTTTTTTTTTTTTTTTTTTTTTTTTGCTGAAGAATATTCGCCCTGAGCTCACATCTGTGCCAGTCTTCCTCTCTTTTGTGTGTGGGTCGTGGCCACAGCATGGCCGCTGGTGAGTGGTGTAGGTCTGTGCCTGGGAACTGAACCGGGGCTGCGGAAGCAGAGCGCTCGGGACTTAACCGCTAGGCCAAGGCGCCGGGCCCCCCTCAGATTTCTTACTGATTTGTAAATCTGAACAAAGTCCCATTTTGGTCCCAGAATCCACATAAGTGATTCCCAAAGGACTGGCTGTTGGTTAAACTTAGAGCAAGATGGTTTGAAACCACTTTGGATTTCATTTGTTCCAACTGGGAAATGTCTTGCCACATCAGTGAAATCTGGTGAAAACTCGGTGGTTAGGTCCCTTTTGTGTCCTTCAAAACAGAGTCAGCGTCTTTATTGGGGAAGGATAAAACGTAAGCTAAGGGCAGTAAAAAACTGTCCGTCGCCGACGCCGAGGGTGCGCGGTGAGCGCCCTGCTGGGAAGGGGCGAGGGCGCGCCCTCCTGGAGGGGCTGCAGGGTGTCCCGCGCCGCGTGCGCGTCTGAGGACTCGGCGGTCCTGCTTGAGGAGCACGCCTGTAAGCAGATAATTTCACAAATTCGGGCAGGCTCAAAGTCGTTCGTCAGAGTCCTGTTGTCACACTGGCAAAAACTGACAGGAACCTGAACACCTAAAATGTGGAAGTGTTTATTTTCACTTCGTTGCAGGCTTCAGAAAAGTTGTAAGCAAAGTACAAAGAATTCCCGGATGCCCTTCACCCAGATTCCCCCGGCGTGCGTGTTAGCACATCTGCGTGTCCTTCTCCCTCCCTTTCTCTCCCCACACACACCCACGCACACACACCCACGCACACTGTGGTTTGTCTTAAACCATCTGAGTGAGTTGCAGACAGATGCCTCTTCCCTCTTAAACACGTCAGTGTGAATTTCCTAAAAACAAGTAATTCTCTTAAACACTCAGTACGGTTGTAAAGATCAGGAAATTAATATTGATACAATGCTGTTGTCTGATCCACAGACCTGTCTCCACACTCCACCCGTTGTCCCAGGAATGTCTTTCACGGCAAAAGGAAATTCAAGATAACGTGTTGCATTCAGCGCACGTGTCTTCTTAGACTTCTTTAATCGGGGAGAGTTCCTGAGTCTTCCTCCTTCATAACCCTGGACGCTGTTAGGAGCAGGGGCCCATAGACTGCCCTCCTCTGGGGTCTGAGTATTGGGTTTGGGTCACGCACTTTTGGCAGGAACACCACGGAGGCGATGCTCACACCTCCTCGCCCCGGCGTATCAGGAGGCACGTGCTGTCACTTCCTTGCCTTACTGGCAAGGGCTCCCTTTGATCGTTTGGTTAAAGTGATGTGTGCAGGTCTCTCAGTGGCAAAGTTACTATTTTACGCTTTGGAACTAAGCCGTGTCCTGTGGGGAGACACTTGGGACTGTGGAGATACCCCGTCACTCCGCCAGCACTGTCCCATAGACCTTGGTGCAAAGATGGAGATCGCCGGTCAGCACTCCAGGGTGGTGGCCACCAGCCACGTGTGGCTATCGGACGCTTGAAATGTGGGTAGTGCGACTGAGGAACTGAGTTTTTATTTAATTTCAACGAACGGAAATTCAAATTGTATATAGCTGCACGTAGCCAACGGCTACAGTGTTGGCATTTCAGCCCCAAACTGTTTTTAGCATCCGTTCATGACTTTTTGCCCGAAGCAGTTATCACGTTGGTTGCCCAGTGGTCGTTTTCTAATTCCATCGTTCTTTATACATTTTAGTTGACTTTCTACTCTAAGGAGGAGGTTTTCCTTCACCCTCATTGATAGAGTAACGTAAGCTGACTATACTTACGTTCGTCTTTACACGTGTCTCTAAATTTGGATGCCAGTTGATGTGATTTACAAATGGGTTCAGGGCTGTGAATTTTATAGAATTTATAGAATTGTCCGTAACCTTACAGTTTTTATAAAAACTATAAACCTATGCTGATGGATATTCTAATGGCTAAAGAAAGGGGATAGGAACTCAGAAGATGTTTACTAGTTTCAGTTGGACACAAAGGGCATCTTTGATCCCTCATTAGGACATAAATGATTCGAAACATTACTATTGCTCTAGATGGAAACTGACAGAAGACTCTGGTATGTGGAAAATACCGTCCACGAAACACACTGTATAACTTTAGGTCCTCAAACCCTCATTTGTATATATTAAATTTATCTTAGCAGATGTACAGCTCTGTGATTTCTGACGCTGTGCGTTTTCGCCGCGTCTCCGGTGTCTGCACGTCCTAACGCCGTCTCCCCTCCGGTTTAGGGCAACCTCCAGCTGCTGCAGAACTGCCTGGCGGTGTTGAACGGAGACACATAAGCCGCGCTCCACCTTCCGGTCACAAAGGGCTGCCTTCCTCCAGACGTCGTTTCGTTTCCTCGATGACCTTAGGCCTTTCCCGCTCACTGGAATCCAGGCGCCAGCCGGCAGGGCGTCCCGGCTCCTTCCCTCCGAGGGACGCGGGGGGCCGGGCGGCTGCGGGGGGGAGGGGGGCGCTCCCCGGGCGCCGCCGCCTCGGAGCCCGCAGTTCAGCCTCTTTCGCAGTAGCCTCTCTAACTGTGTTTCTTTCCTGAGTAGTGTTCCTTTGCCGCCAGTCTGGTTTGCCTTTACGTAATTTCTGAAGTTTAACCCTTTCGAAACGCATTGTTCCAACAAGATAAAGATGGCCGTTGCCTTTCTTTGAATTTTGTCTTCAACAAGCAGTGTGTACCACCTTAGTACCACTCATGTATCCTGGAAAGCATCTTAATCAGACTTATTTTTAATTATGAACATTTCTTAGAAGTTTGGGGACAGACTTTATGTACTCTTTATAAGTATGACTTCTGAAGAACAGCAAATGCGTTAGTATGTTTGCCTTAAACTTGTAGACTAAACCGACTCTTGTCAATAAACAGTGATGACAGCGCCGCCTCCCGCCGCTGTGCTCCTTGTACCCCGTGCGCTCGGAGGGGCCCTGGGAGATCCGCTCCTGCGCCGGGCTTCACCGCGCGGGTCCGCGTGTGTCTCCCTCCTCCTTCCTTTTAAAAATGGCCCGTGGAACCGAGTCCGCCAGTCCCTGGACGGAAGGATGAACCGCTTCCCTGCGTCCTCTGAGCTCTTCACGGAAGATGGGACTGGGCGGAGGCGGTGAGAACAGCGCTTTCTAGCACGCAGGAGCGGAGAGGCGGTCTGTGCCGGTTTGCCGGATTCCATCCCGAGCCCGGCCGATCCGCCGTGCGACAGCTGCCGCCGAGCCACTTGGTAGCTGTGTGCCAGTGTAGACGCTGGGGTGGAGAGAGAAGGAGGTCTGCTTCCGGGGACGGCGCTTATGGGGGGGGGGGGGGGGGGGGGGGGGGGGGGGGGGGGGGGGGGGGGGGGGGGGGGGGTGGGGGGGGGGGCGGAGGGCGGAATTAGAATAGTTGGAGTGAAAGCGAGGGTGCGAAAAGGACACCGATCGTCAGTAGTTGCGTTCCAAGTATTCCTGGCCTTTGTAAGGTGAGGGAACGTTATGCCGTTCCTGGTCGACAACTAAATTAGCGGTGGGATTTCACCACTGTCTTTTTCTAACTTTTCGCCCACTTGGAAACCACAGGCACTTGGGTTGGTCGGCCCTCGGCGGGTTCCGGGTGTGTGTACGTCTCCGCGGCCGTTCTGAAGGAGCCTGGTCTGGGCGTCACGGCGCCGTCACACGGCCCGGCCTTCCCCGTGGGTGCTCTCGGGCCCGCTGGGGCGCTGGTGCCCGTTTCCCTCTTGAACTGACGCTCCCGATGCTGTTGGAAGGCTGATTGTCCTTTTCGCTGGTGTGTTTTGTCCTTCGCGTGACCTTCACCGGTGAAAACACGCCCATGGGACGCCCCGAGGGGGCGGACGTGGGATGGAGAGCCCATGCTCCTGGGTTCGGGGGCAGTCCCTCCGCGCTGCCCTGGCGGCTTCAGGCAGGTGGTCTGGACCTCTCTCTGCCTCGGTTTCTCTACTAGAAAGGACATATTGCCCTACCTCACAGGGGTGTTGTGAGGATTAATAAATGTTGGTCCGGTGCTTTGGAGACGGGAAGGTGCAGTGTAAATGCTAAGAAAGAGCACGTCCCAGGCCGACAGCTACGCAGTGTTCCACAGACCCGTCAGCGACTCTGTTCCGACCATGGTGGCCTTTTTTTGGGAAGCGGGTACAGTGGAAGGTACACCCCTTGGCCCCTGCTTGTGTTTTTGGAGTGCGTGCTGGGGTGGAGTAGACTGCAAGCGGCAGTTACATATGGGGTGGGGGGTGGGGGGGTGCTGCTTAATAAACAGATATAAATGTGTAGACTGATGCGGGTTCGGTGAGTCGAGGAGTCGAAAAAGATTTCTTGGACTCTCCAGGTCTGGTAGTAGTGCTCTCTTATTCAGAGAATGGCATGGAGTAGCATGGGGACAGGACCCACCGCAGTAAGAGCCGCAGGCACGGGGACAGGACCCATGGGCAGTAAGA